ATGAACAGTGTCCTGTGCCCCTTTACTTTGTATTTTTCCAATATGTTTCTAGGTTGGAAAGTATGAAAATAAAGTCTTAAACACAAGGAAGTCTTAGGAAGATAGCAGCTGATTGGAAAGGAGTTCTGATGACTAATCATTGCTCTGAACAATTGCTCTGAAGATTAAGAAAAAGGAGAACTGTATAGGAACACAAAGGAACAAAAGAACAAAATAAATTCAGAGGGTACAGACAGTGATTCTTGCATGGATGATCTAAACACATATATTAAATACTAATATGCATTAATCATATGTGTCAGAATTTTAATTTTAAGGACTGGACCTGAAAGCTAGAAGGGCACAGCAGTACACACCAATTTCACCATAGACGTTTTGTTATTGTTGTTGAATTAATTATAATTTTAAATTTGTAGAAATGGGATATATTGAAAAGTGGTCCTCAACATTTTATATAAGTGTTAAGTAGTTTTAGGAGAAAATGTTCTGTGAATATTTAGTTTAGATATAACAGTTCAAATTTATATGTTTCTGTTGACATGTTGATCACTTGTTCAGTTGCTTCCAATTTTCTGTGACCCAGTGGACATAAAAAGACACCAGGACTGTCAGTAACTGCATCTTTGAGTTCTTGTAAGCTCATACTTACATCATTGGTGATAGCATCTAGCCACCACCTTTTTTTTTTTTTTCCTCCATTTTTTATTGCCTTCAAGGTTTTTTAAGCATCAGGGTCTTCTCCAGTAATGCTTATTATTTGTCCAAAATATCTAAGCTTTTACTTATTTATTAAAGCCTCTATTTAGCATTCTTATTTTACTTCATCTAGCAGTGAATTATTTGGTTTTCTTGCAGTCCAAAATACTGTCAACAATTTTCTTCAGCACCAAAGGCACCATTTTTTTCTTCATTCAGCCTTTCTAGTAGTCTAACATTCAGTTATAAACCAGTTACAAACCATGGGCTTGACAATATGTAATGTCAGTATACTATCTCTGAATTATTTTGTTTAGATAAATTTCATCTAAATACAGGTGAGACATTTACTCTTTCTTTGTTCTTAATGTTGCCTATTTATTTAGTATCCAGTAGAAGAGGGATGGGAAAAGTTGCAATGGTTCTTCCCATCCCTCATTTTCTATTTGGAATGGAAACCAATGGAGATTATGGCAGAGCTTGAGCAGTAAGTATAAGAAAGTTGTAGACCCTGCATTTGTTCTACATGGCCAAAGCAAGATCAGAGTCTAACATAATCTATATAGAGTTGTAATGATGTTTCAGAGGAAAAGAATAATTTTATGACATCTTTGTGTACTGGACATGAATCCTATGGTAGGATGTAAAGTCTTGCAATCCTATGGTAGGATGTAAAGTCTTGCAACACTGCATCAGTGCTTGATTTGTTTTCCAAACCCCCTTTATGTCTATAAATAACTTACGATGCTGGGCTGTAATGTTCTCTGACTTTGGGTGACATAGTGCAGTCACATTTCTCTTCAGAAATGAAAGACTGCAATCTCAGCTCTGTAGAAAGCAAGTCACTTTTTACAGATGAAAGCACAAGAATTGTTTGCTCTTCATGGCAGAGATCAAAGGAATAGTTTAATACTGAAACACAGACCTTCAGACCTCAATTCATTAAACAAATTTGTTTTTTTATTCTCAACTCCTGCTGTTCCACGGTATTTGTTTTAAAGCATAATATGTGACACTTTAGGTTTATATAATTTAACCTTGATACACATGTCACTATTGTCTACTAAGAAAATGCTCCTCAAATTTCTGCTTGTAAAATCTTTATATCCTATAAATTAGAATAAGTACTTCTGTGCTGTAAAGGAAAGAAATGTCCTTGAGACTTGAGTATGTATGAGTAAAGTTGTAAGCTACCTCCTATTTGAACCTACTATAAATTGAACAAGGCCTCAAAAGATTATTATAATGTCCAACCACTATATAAATTTAATTAACAGGACAGAGCAGGACCTTTTCTGTGATATCAACATTGTCATGGTATAAAAATATTCACTTTTAAAATAATAGTTCCTGTTATCTGCTGTTGTTTCTGTTGCTCCTTCAGCAACATTTACTTCAAAGACAGTTACATGGATGATCACAGTAGACTGCTCATGCTATGAAATCCATTACATTTGGTTCTGTTGTCATTGAGAGCAATTGATGGATTATGTGCTATCAAGTTGTTTTTGACTCCTAGCAACTACATGATTTTCTCCATTAAGTCAGTATTATCCTCTGTAACGTGTTAAGACCCTTTTCTGCACTGTTGAACCTTGTCCCCAAAGTTTCTTTCCATTTATGTAAAATTATCCTCTTTGCTGTGCCCTAGGCTGATCAAGTTATAATGACCTGTTCCATACATAATGTTAGACCATCATTTGTTTCAAAACCAAATTTAAAAGGGTAAGAAACATGTTTCATTCTTTCCCCAAGTAATCCACTCCAGCTATTTTTTTCCCTCAAGCAACTCCCCTTCAAAAGTGAATTTTTGCTTGTAATTTTCATTGGCCTTCTTTCATTCTCTGTTTGTGTGGTATTAAGTAACAAGCTCATACACCATCATTGTAATGTTGTTATGTATGGCTCATAAGACAGCCAGTTTGGTGTAGTGGTTAAGGCATCAGGCTAGAAACTGGGAGACCGTGAGTTCTAGTCCCACCTAGGCACAAAGCCAGCTGGATGACCTTAGGCCAGTCACTCTCTCTTAGCCCTAGGAAGCAGACAATGGCAAACCACTTCCAAAAAACCTTGCCAAGAAAACTACAGGGACTTGTTCAGGCAGTCTCCAAGAATCAGCCATGATTGAATGGATTAAAAAAAAAAAAAGTATGGCTCATTAACAAACATTTGTACCTTGCTGTGCTCTTTGAACCGCAAATAACAACAAATGTTGCTTGACCCAGTTTCTGGAAATCCAAACAGGATAAGATGCAACTGGGATAAAACTGAGTTATGCTATGTTAGCTGTGTATGTACTGCACACAGTCAGAGGCCAGCTCTGTAGCAGTTCAGAATAGTTCCCAGTAAACCGAGGGAAAGGTAAAAAGCCTTGCTAGTGCCATTGAGAATCAGAGAACAGACTTGTGGCCAGTATTTTATTCTAAGATTCTCTGGCAGTTTAATGCAAATTGGTTTCTTGAAGGCTGACCCTAGGTCATGCACATCAGGAAACTAGAAGCTGCTAGAGTCCACTGTTGTCTTCTGCTCTATTATCATTTAGTGAAGCCAATTTTAACCAATTCTTTATAGAAGTGGACTTGTTTTCTTTTTTTTTTAATCCCATGGCTAAATTGTAATGCAAGAGTTTCTGTTCTAGATTTTATAAAAAACAAAATGCTGTCAAGCATGAATAGTAATGTTTAACTAGTTCCTGTGTCTCTAGTGGTTACTTAGAACATCACAGAGTACACCAAGAATGGGAGTCTTTTTTTATTAATGCCCCAGCTGAATAAAATAAAAGCTAATTAACCCCAAATAAGCTTTCCTAGAGAGGCAGAAACTGCTTCCTTTATAGATGAAATTGGTGTCCTCTCTTTTGCAATTTTAATCTTATATTTATATTAAATTTTAACACCATCTGCACCTTGAAAATGATGCTAATATCTTGCACAGTTGGAAATACTTGTTAATGAATGCTTGGGATATAAGTTCTAAGGGATAGATGTCATCCCATAAATTGAGTTACCTTGTAAACAAAATGTGGTGAGGAAGATTATGCTTTTATCATTTGCTGCTTTACCAATTTCATTTCCCAAATATATTCGGCTGCTATATATTTTCATAGGGTAACAGTCTTCACGTACTGCTTGACATTCCCTTCCTGCTTGAAGACCTGCTTTTCACAGAGCTAAATAAATATGTTGTGGTCATGCATCTCCCCTGCTGATCAAATGAGGGAGCAACAGCAACAATGCCTGATAGCAATTCTTCAAGATCTTATACATAGGCCTTGTGAGTTTCTTACATCCTGAAATGAATTGGATATATTAGAATCTTAAATATGTAAGTATAATAGCAACCGATTCAGTAAAAAATGCTCCTTCCAGCTAGGTGTTGTCCCTGTTCAATTCTGTATAGAAGATACTTAGAATGGCTTGATACTTCTAGATAGGGGACTTTTCATATGCTTCAGGGTCCATCCTTCAAGTACTCACCTTTCCTAAATCAAAGAGTGGCTATTTCTACCACATCCCAACCATTTCCTATGCATGTTAAGGTAGTGCTATTTAGAAAATTCAGTGTTCTAATAGCCATTTAATCAAATAAATTGTAAAAAAAAACATAGTAACTTATTGTAAAGGTAAAAGAGGGCTTTTTTTTTTCAAATATATTAAGTAGAAAAGGCTGTATACAGATATTTAAAATACCCCAAATATTCCTGTTCTTCTGAATGCAGGACAGTTTTGCATTTTTGACCCTTCTTGGTCTTTGGTGTGGCTTAGGCAATGCCCAGAGACCCTCCCTAATTTGCAGTGGTGGTGGTTCTTGCTGTTGCTTCTAATAGTTGTTTACAGTAAACAAACAATTCTCTCAATCCTAGTAGACCATTCCTATTGGCTGTTCTATCTTTCATTTCCTGCTGCTTCCCTCCTTTGCTTGCAGCGCCCAGTTTTCTGAAAGGCACTCCAGCTTCTGCTGTCTGTGGTTGGTGGACTTTGTAGGAAGAAGGCCCTTTAAAAAATCAACAACAGAGGCTGAAGAACAGTGACAACTGACCATGAAGCAAGAAAGGGAGGAGTAGATACTTGAGGGGAGAACAGGTGGCTTTGTGGAAGTAATTGGCTGTCAATTTAATTGCCCTGATCCATCCTAGAGATCCTGTTGTGGTAAAGGTCTCTGATGAAGGAAGTCTTCAGCAATCTCAGCTGTATTTCAAGTGACTAGGAGAGAAGCTGCTTGTGATAGAGAATGAACTTACTGGGTATGTGTATGTGTTTGTGCAGATAAGAGGCATGTACATGTTCATGTATTCTCTTGTCCAGCAACCAGCAGTACAGCCACTGTGGCCCAAACAAGTTGCCGTGTTCTGCAAAACCTTTGTCCTATCAATACCCGAAAGGGAAAGAGGAAGCATCTGGAGCGAAAGACAAGTCAGCGTAAGCACCCTCTTATTCCTCTTGCCAGAAAATGAGAACTTTCACAGGGCTTTTAAAATTTGGCCTAGCATTTGTACTATTCACTCATGTTCTACAGAATAGGTGGAGAAGAAAGCATGACTGATTCAGTTTTCACATTTTCTCTGCTTTTACTAGTCCTATGTAAAGTGTGGATAAATTTTCTCTTTTAGAAAAAAAATTGGTTCTGCTGTGCTTTGGAAAAAGGTGCATCACTCCCATTTGCTTGCGGCCTTGTGGTCAGAGCGTCATTGCCTTAGTTATGGGGAGCAAAGTATAAAGCCTTTAATTAAATATTCAGGCCTCCCAGCTCCCCTAATTTCTTCTTTAAAATCCTAAAACTGTATTTAAGGGAGCCATCTGAAGGACTAGAGAAGGAAAGGCTCTCTTGTTCTCTATATAATTTGAACTCTGCAGAGGAAACGGATGCATGAATCAATCATACTTCCCTTCCTGCTGTTTTTGGTGGAATATACAAAGCTACCCATACTGGGGTTGAAGGAAAATTTAGAAACATGATTTAAATCTCTTGTTTCCTCCTTCTTCTGAAGCCTTTTTTATTTTAGCTGTATAGTTGATACTGGAGAATAAAAAACACACCCGGACGTGCTAAAGCTGTCACACTTCCCTTCTGGTACTATAAAGAATGTTTGTACACCCTCTCGCACCAAATCATCTTCTCAAGTACAGTGATATATAATGCCCACATTTCTCCCCTCCTTGTTTGTAAATATTTTATTTTTATTTATCTACAGACACTGAGTGATCTGCTATTTCCTAGAGAGTATTAAAGAGAAGAATTCATCTATTTTATTGTTGGAACTGTCATAAGAGAGGGGATTTAGGTTTGAGGCTTGTTATTGGGTTTTTGGGGATCTCTCAGGCTAGAATTACTGTCATGTAAGAAATAGCCTTATGACTGACTGACAGTGCAATATCTGAGAAAGGATACAGACTCTCATAATAATGTGACACTTCATGAGCAGTTTGACTGCTTTCATTACCTGGATTTATACCTCAATTTCCATATGAGAGCTGCTAGTAGTAGGAAAGCTGTCAAGATCCAGTCTGTGTGGCTGTTTCTAATAGGACTTAGGAACAGTACTTTAAATTTTTTAATTGCAAGCAAACTTTGTAGTTTTTTCAAGAAAGAGAATTTCCAAGTCCCAATTTAAAAATATTCAGACGGATTGCAAGCAAGTGTTGAACTTCTGTTTCTTTGTCTTGCATTGGCAGTACATTTTAGTTGTATATACACATACATAGACACACACACTCCCATTTAGATAGATAGACACCACTTCACTTATACCAGTAAACTTCTTGGGGTTTTGATCAACAGTGCTTTTCATCAGGAAAAGATAAATTGGGGTCTGAAAGTAGATGATTTTCTAACATTTGTGGTTTCTATATTTAAAACTGAATATCAGTGTTCAGCATTTTCTCATTTTTCTCATGATCCCATTCTTGAATTACAAATAAAAGATTGGCCTGCCATTTTGCTTAAATTATAGTTATCTATAGGTTTATAAAGATGGAGGATTTTTACCATGAAAGGATAGAAGGAGTTCAACTTTTTTTATGTTTATGTGATCTCTCAGTGGTTTTTGACACTATGGACCAGAGTTTCAATGTTTATTCATTTACTGTCATAGACCAAAATATAATATAAAGCATCAACAACAACCTGTGACCTAAACTATTAAAAGAGAACAATACTTTCTAATGTAGTGTTATATAACAATGCTTGATTATATCCATGCTTTCCTGTGATCATGACTGAGAAATATTTTACCATCGTTTTTTAGATTTCTGAAGATTTATCAGCTAATAAAAAGGATGTGTTCTCTTCCACAGTACAGTTGAAGTGATTAACAAAGAGGAGTAATATTAATTCAGAACACTATGTATGGTACGATGGATAATTCAGCAGAATATGAAACATTGATTCAACAAACCCAACCCCACTCCCCGTGCAAAGACAGGTTCGGTCCTAGAAGGAAAGGTTGCTGTACCTTCCTTCCAGAACTCTTGATGGCAAAGCATTAAGCCTGATGAGAGGAAAGTTACTTCTATACAGGACAGAAAAAATATTGTATAAATATTTAGGGATAGATAAAGACCTGTTCCAGAGGCCAATATTACAGTGCTTGGAGATTCTGCTCATCTTTCTGTAAGTTTAATCTAGGGTACATTGCTTGATCTCTTATACAGCTCTCTCAGACCCTACTGTTATTGATGATTGAACCAGGAATCCACAATAAGATAATTCTGAGGCTATACTTTTTTCCCATGAGTGGTTGAATTTATTGACAAGGATTAACTGGGATGGAAATATCTCCTCCAAAATTAGTTTTAGCCAGTATTTTAATCAGCAAATCCTCAAGGCTCAAGCTTGCATTGGAAATGTAGTGAGGGACAAAAAGCATTCATAATAAGTTGAAATGGATTGCCTCCACATTTTTTTCATTATAGACACAAATTTGTGCCCCGTAGAATATTAGGCTTAACATCTTGGTCTGAAAGAATATACTTACAGGGGGACATAATTGTTTCCATGGTGGTTGTTGCCAATTTTAATTATTGTATTGGAAATTTTTCTTGCTATTTCCAAGTATTACAGGATTGTATTATAATTCTGAAGTATAATTCTGAATGTCTTAACTTGTTCAATAAGATGTCGTTTGGTTTCCCATTTGTGAAGGAGATTAGCACATCATTTTGTAAATTCAATCACTTTTGTTTTACCATAATTAATTTCTATTTTTTCTTCCTTACAATAAGTTTCTTAAGAATTATAGACTCTGTTGGAAACCAGCTTGTATCAAACAGAGGATACAGATAAAGCAGAACAGATACTGATTTACTTGCTAACACTGAGGGATAAAATCCACTTTTTGTCAAGGTAAGAAGGGAGTCAGAAGACAACCTTATTTAAGTTTTTTCACAGTAAAAATTGGGCAGAAAGGCTTTCACTTGACATACATCTAACTTGCATATATGTATTCTCATGGAGTATCATGATTAATCTTAATGAGGCAGCAGTCCATAGGTGTATTTAATAGTTTTTTCCACAGCCTCTCCCTAGAGATCAAATCAAAGGCTGCCTTTAAATCTACAAGGACAGCATAAGGGATGGGAGGAATATTTTTTTGCAAATGATTTAAGATAATAGATTGATCCACTGTTGATCATCCTGCCCTGAAGCCCACTTGTTCATCAGCCAAGACTTGTTCTTATTCTACCCAATCACTGAGTTTCTTACATAAATGTTTAGCGTACAGTTTACTAATAACACTAAGGATAGAGGTTTGATAGAGATCAGCAGGATATGATTTATCACTTCTCTTAAAGATTGGACTAATAGAACAGCACCAGTGTTTGGGCATCTCAACAGAGCTATCCATATGAAGAGGGAGGCCAATATTGGAGCCCACCACTGTGTTAGCTTTTATCAATTCTACAGGGATCAAATTTCCAACAGATGTCTTTCCATTTTTTTAGCTGGGCTATAAGTTTAGAGTTTCTGAGGATGAAAGTAGATGTCAGTCAAAAAGAGTTTGTAGTGAATTTCTAGGGACAAGCTTCATTTAACCTAGCACTAAAACCATTGATAAAATACTCAAACCTGCTTAGCACAAAAAGCTTGTACTTTGGCCATGGCTTCAGTTTCTGGTGTTTATACTGACAATTAACCACCAGAAAGTGGACAAATTCTCCTTCAGCACTTGCACCAGTTTTCCCCAATTTTTCATTTTCATTCATTTGTTTCTGTTTTACTTAAATAGAGACTTCTATCCTTTTTTTTAAGTTGTGAAGTTTGTCTCGAAGATAGTGGCCACCATATCTATAAGCCCTGTAGCATGTAAGTAATTGAGCCTTGGCTTTTATTCTCTGTCAAACCAAGATGTGTGGGATTTTAAGATAGTTCTCTGGTTACAGACTTAACATTAAAGGAATCCTGGATGGAAATAACCAGATGATGGTAAATATTTAGGAATTCATGTTTAGATTCTGAATTACATAAAGATAGTTTAAGTTGTGAAGCCAAGGGTGATCTGAAGAATTGAGATGTGGCCTTAGCAAGCTTGTTTGACTATCTAATTTGGCAATTGCCATCAATAGTTATATAGCCCTTATTCTCCTGTCTATTTCTCACAAAACCAGAGGTTAATTGCAATGAGGAAAGAGTTACCACTATCTGGATGGAAGAGAACTTTAAAGTTTGTAATATATGAGGACAGGTTAGGGGATCCTATAATGCAATGTCTGTACTCTCTCCTTGCACCCCTCCAAATGTGCGTTCCCCCTCAGAATTGTCAGTCATTTAAAATCAAATCAAATTTAAAAACGAATTGGGCTAATCTCTGACTTGCATTGTTAATATTATTGTCCTTGAAACAGCATTCTCTGTCACTGTTCAATTTTTTAAGTCTGAGAATGGCTCTACCAATATATTTTTTTTAAAAAATGCTTCATAATTGGGACCTCATCTTGCACTGAAGTTCCCTGCCAAAATCAATTTGGCACTGGAGAATTAAACTAGCAGCTGTAATCAATAATCCTCAAATACATCTCACTTATCATTGGTTTGGGAGAACATTCTACATGGTGAGATAAACTTTAATCAATAAACAACTCTGATTCTTTGCCTGCAAGTTAATACCTATAGCCAACTGATCACACATTACAGGGATGGACAGAGATGGTTGAACATAATTTGGCAGAGATTAAGATGTTGACACCACCATGAGCATAGTCTTCCTACAGCGGGAGGTAGCCTGCAATGAAAAGGGTATAATGGAGCAGAGTGTTTTCCATATAGTTTGGTAATTAGGGGCACCATTGTATAATGGTTCCGTTCGTATCTGAAAAGTAGGTTCTGGAGAATAGCATTGGGAAACCGTAGTTCAGCCTCCTTGCAGTAGAATGCTCCAAAAGACTATAGTTTTCAATGTTGTTTATATCTCTATAGAGATTAA